GTTATAATGCTGTTTCCTGACCATCAGATTTCTGTCAAATCGTCCCCCAAAGTCCAGGAAATGGCATTTCAGAGACTCTAAATTCAAAAATTTTCCTGGGGGGCATGCCCCCGGACCCCCCTAGACAAACCTCGCACCTTCGGCGCTCGGATCGTGCCTTTGGCCCTCGTTTATCAAGTGTAATATTATAGGGGCGCATATTGGTTGACAGCCCACTGGCCCCCCCAGAAAAATAGTACCCAGCACGCCACTGCTGATTTCAACACATGTTAATAGACAACTTGCATGTTAGACTAATTTTTTATTTAGGCAAAAGAAAATAAATTCCCGTAAAGAACTTATTAAAATAAGTAAAATTGCAAAATTTGGTTGCGAAATGTTGTAAAATACAGAAGATATAGCCTTGCGAAGTTTGCATATTTTCAGTATATTTATATTACGTGCGGAAATTGTTAGCATTTTTGAGCCGAAAATGGTAACAATTTCCGCACGTAATACAAACATACTGAAAATATGCAAACTTCGCCAGGCTATATTTTCTGTATTTTACAACATTTCGTAACCAAATTTTACTAATTTCATTAGGTTTTGTTTAACTGTTGCGTTTGATTCCTTTCTCTTTTACTCTTTACTTAGATTAAAATTTAGTCTAACATGCAAGTTGTCCATTGGAAATTTGTACTAATGTCGTCTTGGATGTTGCAACAATTCAATAGACCTTCCCGGTATAAATTACGTCAAGATTACACTGTTTTCAACTTAGCACCGCCATAAATGGAATGGATTTTAAGTTTGTTTCTCACGGACTGTGGTCAGAGGAGCAGAACATCCTTCTTCAACACATGCATAGAAAAGAATTTTGGATTTTGACCAATAAGTATAGCCAGGGACGCCGGAACGGTAATAAGGCAAAGGCGGGCAGAGGCACACCAAGGGCACCTCTCCCCCCCCCCGTCACCAAAAAATTTCGGTCAGTGTACCATTTTAGGGGTCAAAATTTTTTTCCAGACATACCAAAATTTTCCGTTAAGTTAAAATTTTTTTCTAAATTCCAAAAATTTCCTAAATTTTTTGTAAATTAAACTCATTTACCAAATTCACAATCATTTTTGTTAATTTACTTTCTCTGGGCCTATAAATTACCTGAATCTCATGATTTTCCCAGAAAATGATTTTCCCAGAAAAAGCATCACTGGAAATGTGATTTATCACGTAGTATTTTACAACTAAAAGGGCACTTCTGCCCCCCTACCAAAATGCAAGGGGGCAGCCTCCCCCTCCCTGCCCCCACCCCCAGTTCCGGCGTCCCTGAGTATAGCCTATAGGTAATCATGCGATGGCGAGTACAATTAGGGATTAATATTTAGGGTTACAATTAGGGATTAATTGAGTGATGTTTGGAAATTTTGCCAAAATTGGACGAGCGCCGGGGCGAGTCCAATTTGGCAAATTTCCAAACATCACGAGTACTATTAATCCCTCTAATTGTACGAGCAACATCGCATGATTACTTGTTTCTTATTAGCATGACAAAATTGGATACTTTCGCCAAAATTTGGCGCTTTTGTTCCTATTTTCATTTATTTTTCATTTATTAAAGCAAAATTTGGTGCTTTTGTTCGTATTTTCATCTGGTTCCTTCACGGCAAGTTCATTTCACATTTGTGTTTAAAATACCTTTCCGCCATTTTGTTTGTTTTAGGAAAGGTCTATTAACATGCGTTGAAATAATATTTTATTGCAAGTTGCTGCAATTTTGTTGCTCGTATTACTTTACCTTACGGGTAAAACATTTTCATGCTAAGGGGGGGGGGGGGAGAGCACAGAGGCAACCCTAGGGTGAACAACGAGGGGACCACAGGAAATTTTTTTAAAAAATCAAAAACTGCCCCAAACCACTTCAAACTTTCTCAAAACTGTTGAAAAGCTTTTCTCTCATCAAAACAATCACTTTCGACTGATAAAAACGTATTTTTAAAAATTTTGATCAAATGCAAAATTAGGGGAGACCCACAGGCAACCATAGGGTCAACAAAGTGGGAACCACGAGAAATTTTTCAAACATTCTAAAAGTGCCCCCAAAAAGAAAACCATCTCTCTGATCAAAACGATCACTTTTTCAACTCACAGAGCGTTTGAAAAATTTTTGGTGGCTCACGAAGTGGAGGGACACCACACAGCCGGGGGATCACAGCATTTTTTAAAAATACACAAAGTGCCACAAAAAAGTTTTGAAATATTTGGCTCAAATGCAAAGGGGGACCACAGCAACCCTGACGTCAACAAAGGGAAGACCATTGGAAACTTTTTTGAAAAAATGCAAAAAGTGCCCCAACCCACTGTAAACTTTCTGAAAATTGTCGAAAACGATTCCTCTCATCAAAACAATAACTTTCCACTCGTAAAAACAGCTTTGAGCAATTTCGTTGAAATGGAAAGGTCAGGACCATTGAAGGAAAGTTTTCATATCATTCTTGTATAATAATACTTTGTTAACAATACACAACTTATTGAAACTGACCTTTTCAAGTACTTCATCTGCAAATCCAATTGAACTATTTGATAACATCCAAAAATGACAACACTTTGGACTTGATAGGCTTGTACACATTGGTATTTTTGTTACATATAGTTGAATTGCTGTTGCCTATTTAAAGATGAGCAAGATTAACTGATTAGCTTCAATGCTCCCAATGCATATGTAACATAAGATGTTCATGCCTATATCAGTGTAAGATAAGGTCCCTTCCCATATATGTAACATAAGGTATTCACACCTATATCAGTGTAAGATAAGGTTTATACCCTTGCCCCTATGTGTAACATAAGGTGTTCACACCTATATCAGTGTAGGTTTACACCCCTGCCCCTATGCGTAACATGAGGTGTTCGTGCCTATATCAGTGTAAGATAAGGTTTATACCCCTGCACCTATATCACACCTATATCAGTGTAAACTAAGGTTTTTACCCCTGCCCCTATGTGTAAAATAAAGCCTTCACACCTATATCAGTGTAAGATAAGGTTTTTACCCCTGCCCCTATGTGTAACATAAGGTGTTCACACCTATATCAGTGTAAGATAAGGTTTTTACCCCGGCTGCCCCTATATGTAACATAACATTTTCACGTCCCTATACCTAACCCTACATACACAAGGTGTTCATGCTTGCCACTATGTGTAACATAAGGTGTTCACACCTATATCAGTGTAGGTTTACACCCCTGCCCCTATGCGTAACATAAGGTGTTCGTACAACAGGGATAGATCCTTAGTTCTCCCGCATGCAACACCAAGAGACGACCACTCAACTGGTAGATCTATTCAGTGCTGGCAACTATATTTATTTCTACATAATCTCTCATCACCAAATTATACTTAAAAAATTTAGTTGCCAAAAATTAAAGGTCTGAGCCTTTACTTTTTGGCACGCAAATATTGATGAAAAAGTAAAGTCCTTAATATTTTCTTGATAAAAATTCAAGGCTCATGCAGCTTTACTTTAAATGCTAAAACATGGACGAAACTTTCCTTTTTCCCCATTCCCCCCCCCCGCCCCCCTTTCAACTTTTATGCCAATCTTTTCATCATTTTTTCAGAAATCATAACTGTACTCTTACGAATTTACTTATAAGAAAAGACTAATCCTTAACCTTCTTTGCCTATCTTTCAAAAAGCAGTTTAAAAGTAACCTTAAGTTATTGGCAATTTTTGTCCCATTTTCAACATTTACGGCCTACGAAAATTGAAGGGGTTAGCCTTTACTTTTTTGGCCAATTTTTAGGAAATAAGAAAATTGCTAAAAATGAGAGAAAATTTAAAAGATTACCTTGCCACTATGTGTAACATAAGGTCTTCACGCCTATATCAGTGTAAGATAAGGTTTATACCCTTGCCCCTATGTGTAACATAAGGTGTTCACACCTATATCAGTGTAGGTTTACACCCCTGCTCCTATGCGTAACATGAGGTGTTCGTGCCTATATCAGTGTAAGATAAGGTTTATACCCCTGCACCTATATGCACATATCAGTGTAAGATAAGGTTTATACCCCTGCCCCTATATCACACCTATATCAGTGTAAACTAAGGTTTTTACCCCTGCCCCTATGTGTAAAATAAAGCCTTCACACCTATATCAGTGTAAGATAAGGTTTTTACCCCGGCTGCCCCTATATGTAACATAACATTTTCACATCTGTCCCTATACCTAACCCTACATACACAAGGTGTTCATGCTTGCCACTATGTGTAACATAAGGTGTTCACGCCTATATCAGTGTAAGATAAGGTTTACACCCCTGCCCCTATGTGTAATATAAGGTGTTCACGCCTATATCAGTGTAAGATAAGGTTTACACCCCTGCCCCTATACGTAACATAAGGTGTTCACGCCTATATCAGTGTAAGATAAGGTTTATACCCCTGCCCCTATGTGTAACATAAGGTGTTCACGCCTACAGAGTTTGAAATTAGAATTTTCCGGTGGTATCCATTAAAGATACCAGTACTGCAAAATTGGTATCCAAACTGAAAAACTTGTATCCAACATTGATACGATTAGAGAATAGTGAATGCAAAAATACAGACAGTATGCTGGCTAATATTTGGAATCATCATATATCATAAAACTGTACAAAAACATATTGACTAATGACTAACAAAAGGTATTTTACTGTACTTCATGACAAAATAAGTAGAACCGTAGTAATGGAAATATGTTTCCTGTTTTGAAGCAAATTGCAATGCTTGAACAGAAAGTTAATACAATACATGTAATGGTTAAAGGTTTTGGTATGTACACCAACAATTTCTTTGGTATCCAGGCGGGATACCAAGGTTTTAACATCTGATATCCAAAATTGAAAAGTGGTATCGTCAGGATACTAGGATACTGCAAATCTCGGACCCTGCACGCCTATATCAGTGTAAGATAAGGTTTATACCCC